AGCTTATTTTAATCAAAATCACAAGGTGACTAAGGACCAATTCATATGGAACTCTAAAAATAATGAAAATAGTAATAATTGCATGGCTCTTACCCAGCATTCATGTTAACCCTGAAATACCATGTGATCAAAAACCTGAAATAAACTGGAAAACACCCCCAAAAATCAAATTGTACATAAGTAACTCTGTGTACCAACCTCTGCACACTTCATTTGTAAAAATGCACTTTTAAAGTGGGCCACTTTCCCTTATTTGGGGCACAATTTTATTTGGCTCAGTAATCTGTTTCTCTAAGATGCAACTATATATAAAATAAAAATCTAGAAAGGAGAAGGAGACTTACAGAGAGTCATTGAAAGCAGTAACATATATTAGCTGAGATAGCTCAACTAATAGGAGTAGATGTTTTAAAATAGAACAACAGAAATCAGATCTTAGAGCCCAAAATGCAGCCTGGGGCCATTTGGTGCAAGGGCAGGCTCCGCAGCAATCTCAGAGAGCTTTCTCCATTAGACCACAATAACAGCTATGTGGACCTTAATGACTCCACATCATCAAGAAATGGTTCATTTGTTATTAGGAATTCTATTTCCTAAGGTGTAAAAGCACAGGATATATTATTTTAAGCATCTATTCTTATCAAAAGAAATAAAAATTTTAAAGTTTAAAGACTTTTGATGATGCCTTGAAAACGCTACACATTGCTGTGAAGTGGATCACTGTGTCAACAACACAAAAAGTAGGCAGGTGCTGTCCCAAATTTAGCAACCTGAGAACTGAAGAAGGGCTTTGGGTGAAGACTTGTGAAGCTCTGGAGAGGGGCATTCTGGGCCAGGGAAAGCAAGTGCTCTGACCCTGAGACAGGAGTGAACCCAAGCCAGCTGTCTCGGCTGCCTTAATGTGACCAAAAGGAGGGCTCCATAGGAAAGGTCATGGAATTAATCAGGGGTCACATCGCAATCAGGGACTTGGATTTTGTTCTAATTGCAGAAGGAAAATGTTGTGAAGTTTTAAGACAAGCGAGAATGGGATCTGTTGCATGTTTGTTTGTTTTGAAAAGTTCCATAGCTACTGTAGTGGATTGCAAAGGAGTAAGATTGGAAAGTGGGAAATGAGTTATCAGGTTGTTCCAAGTAGAAGATAATGGTGTCCAATGAAGATAGCAAGCCACCCTTTAAATAAACAAAGCATTAGCTTAGTATCAATATTAACACAACTGCATACTCTTCACATAGCAACACTGGTGACCAAAAGTATATCTTTCTCTTTATTTTTTTTCTATATTTTATTTATTTTTAGAAAAAGGGGAAGGGAGGAAGAAAGACAGGGAGTGAGCATTGATGTGAGAGAGAGAGACATCGATCAGTGGTCTCTCATACGTACCACAAGCCAGCGGACTGAACCCACACCCCAGGCATGTGCCCTGACTGGGAATCGAACCAATGGCCTTTCACTTTGTAGAATGATATCCAACTGACTGAGCACACCAGTCAGGGTTCTTTCATTTCTGTTAAAAGTTGGTAATTGCATTAAACCCTTCTAAACACTGAAGCTCCCATTCATGAAGACAATCTACAGAGGTGTTTAATATACTGCTCCAGGCACAAAGTGACCAAATTGGGTGCTCACGGTACTTTCCGAAGGAGAACTTTCTATCTAACTTTTATCTTGCACTCCACTTACTCTTTCCAGAGTTTGGTTTTAGAAATATGATTGATCTAAAACATACCACTGACACCAATAGCTTTATTTTTTAGCAATTTTGGGGGCCACTACTCTTGCAACCTATAAACTATTTTCCAGCAGGGACCTGACACCAGGTTATTTAATAATGAAATATGAACTTTGAAAGCCCTTTGAGTCATTTACCTTTAGGTCTAAGACCAACAATAAGAAATTTCTAGCTAAAAATTGTATGAATTCAAGCATGGTCTCCTTCATTGTATTGAGTTTTAATTCCCACTTGAATCACCTGCCTTAGGCAACACCACCTTTCTAGATGAGTGATTGTCTTGAGAAAAAAAATACTCTTTTTTTTTCATGAAAGATAAAGAATTTTTCTACTCATGGCTCTCTTTGTAGATTCCCTTAGGAAGAAATCTAGTGAAAGCTAAACTGGAAAGAATGTGATCAGTTTGCCAAAAGAATATGACCCGCTTGCCAACTTGACGTAGATGGACATGTTACGTTCCAGCTGTCATAAATATGATTTTCACTTCAAGAGTCCTCTGAGTGCCTCCAAACTCTCCAAGAAAGCTATGGAAACTTTTACAATTTTCAAAGTGTTCACCCAAAAATAGGCCCTAAGGACTGCCAACTAAGAGGTGAGAATATTTACCCAAGTGTAACGTGGTAAGGCACAGGAGAGCTGGGATGCTCTCCCATCCTGCTTCCAACACATGAGCAACACCTGGGGGAATCAATATGTAAACGACTGCATGCAGCTAGTGCATCAAGAGTTAGAGCTACTCATTTAAATTCAGGGCAATGTCCACATGTCTATGAAAATAGAGGTAAAGAAAAGGTGGGTAAAATCGTTGCAAATTCCCATTGAAGAGATTATCTCTATCCACTCCATAGGATTTTTGTAACAATGAAATACTGTATTCCTTTATTCAAAATTTTCTGAAGTGCCTACCAAGAGACATAAGCCCTTTGACAGTAGTCCTGATGCTCAGTCTCTTCAGATAGACCTTTTTTTTATTACAATTTATACTCAGTATTATTTTGTATTACTTCCAGGTGTACAGCACAGTGGTTAGACAATCATACACTTTATGAAGTGTTCCCCTGCCCCTGCCAACACAGAGACTCTTAAAACTAAACTTCCACACTTATAAACAGCTAATCATGTCAGCTCAGGTCAACATTGCCTGGTTCAAATCCCAGCTCTGTCTCTACCAGCTGTATTATCTTTGAGCAAGTTTACTCATCTGTAAAAGGGAGTAATAACAGTACCTGCCTCACAGGGTGGTTAGGAAGATTATAGGAGTTTATGTATGTAATGCATATAAAGAGTCCCTGGCATATAGTAACTCTAATAAATGTTCATGAATGTGATCTCTGCTTTCATCCATCCACACCAAAAGGGTATTCCCTCCCCCCCCCACCCCAAATAAAAGCCTGTGTTCTTTAATCCCTTGACAAAAGTAGTTGTCTGGGGCCAAGCACTGGCATCACCTAAAAGCCTTTGTAGAAATGCAGATCCCATCACGAATCTATCTGTACACCCAAAACAAAAACAAAATAATACTGAACGTAAACTGTAATTGAAAAAGAAAAGAAACGCAGGCTCTCAGTCCTCACCCCGATGAACTGAACGATAACCTGCATTCGGACAAGGCCGCTCGGGCGTGTACTGCAGTTTCAGAAGCACCGACCTGGCAGCCGTGCTCCCGCAGCTCCCTTCCCCAGAGCCGCCCTCCCGCAGACTTTCATAGAAAAGTCTCACACATTTTCCTCACCCCACCAAAGGCATTCTCATGGGAAGAGTCAGAAACCCCCACTGACTATTTAGAGGACGCTCCTCAAACCCTGCCCACCCCAACCTCACCCCTTCACCCCCAGACCCACCTGGTTCCCAGATCTCTGAGACCTCTTCTCCTCAAAGAGAGTTTCTGGGCTGCATTTTTGTCTCAGACTTCGGGACGCATCCGTCCTTACAAGCTGTACCTTAGTTCACTTCCACTACCATTTCCTACAACCAAGTCCTCATTTTCCACAACCTCCCTGTCGCTTAGTTGTCTGCTTAGCTCTGTTCCACCTGTGGCTCAGTAAACAATCTGGAGCAGACCTCCTAGAATGATCTTGCCCTTGCTAATCCTGCCCACAGGCTGGGTGCCCAGTTTCAGTCTGGCCTTTCCTATCCCTCTGCAGTTAGCTCACCCTGTCACAGGAATCCACATGCCCAGGCTACTCACCTGTTTTCTTTCTTTCTTTTTATGTAACCTTTATCATATTTTTTCATTACTGTTTAGTACCTTTATAACCTCCTCCCCTCAGCGATCATCACACTGCTGTCCATGTCCGTGAGTCCCTTTTCCCTTTTGCTCGATCCCTCTACTGCCTAAACTCTCCCTCTCCAGCTGTCAAACACAGCTATTTTCATTAGACATGAATTAAACCACTGCCAGAGTGCCTGCTGACCTTTTAGATAAAACAGATTTCCTCCTACCTCTTCTTTGCCAATGGCAAAAGTTCCTTCTAGTGTCTACATATTTTTACAGGTTATTTGTTCAATGCAATAGATAGGTGGTTGAGTTAGGGCCATAGAATATTCTGACTCTGGTAGCCTTTGTTAGGAGGACTAAAGACCACAGGAGAATTAACTTGACCTCTTCATGTAGCTGGAGATGAGCAAAAGGGAATCCACAAACTGCACGGCCACACTCAGCTACAGAGGAAGCCATCTACAAAGACGAACAAGGTGCAGAGACGAATCCCAGAGCACAGACCAAACCCTGCATCCTTCAGTTATGCTTGTTTTCCTCCCCCTTCAGTTAATGAGTGAGCCCTGGGTCTCTATAATTCCCTTGGGTTGCTTTCTTTTCTAAAGTGCCATAAGCCATATTTGTTACTTGTGACCTACCTCAGGAGGGACCTGCAGCAGCCAGTTGACCACGTGGGCCTGGAGCTCTAGAGAGAGTGACAGTTGAACGTGATGACTCTTCACAGGATGCTCTTCTACGTCCCTGCACCCCCTAATCACAAACTCCCAAGTTACCCCTTATGTCAAATACCACCAGACAGAGCCTCTCCCTTGTCTAAATTCCAGTGTAATCTCTTCAAAAAGGTAGAGCATATTCTTTATTCTGTTTTTATAAAACAACACGGAGTGGAGGTGACTAATAAGTGTATATGTCTGTGAGATTTTTTCCCCACTCACATGGGATTGCTGAGCAATCTTCCACTGGTGGCTTAGTTCCTGGTAGGCCTGCTATTCATATAACGGCTACTCAGATCACTCCCCCCTTTGGAAATCCCAGGGTTTTCCTCTCACCTGTAGATCATAAACATAGATTTCCATCTGAAGTCCACGAGCCTTTCTCAGAGTCCTGTGTCAAGAAGTATGTGGCTTCAGAAAAGCAGATGTTTTTACTATGTTAATGGCTGGCACCTAGGAGAAAAAAAACAACATTGTTATAAAAATCCTGAAGTTGGGGCATCCACATTTTCCATAACATAAAATAGGATTAGTCTATGTGTAAATCACTTTGCTTCCATCTGCTTTTCATAAAAAGCATTGACTGAGAAATGGGAGGAAGGAAAAAGCAGTGAGATGGGAAGTTGAGTGGATATTCTACCCCCTTATGCCTGCAGAGGAATATGCGATTTTCCTATTCAATTTCCCGTAACAAAGAAAACACCTCCCTATTGCACTGAGAAGCAATAAACTACAGTTAATTCTTGAACTACATGGGTTTGAACTACACAGATTTGCATATATGTGTGCTGTTTTCAATAAATACAGTTGACCCTGCCCTATCTGCAGTTTCTCACCTAAGGATTTAAGCAAATAAGATGGAAAATAGCATTTTCACATTCCCAACTGCAGATTCCTTACTGCAGATGCTCAATACTGGATAGAAAGTACTATTTTTGATCTGCAGTTAGTTGAATCCTCAGATGCAAAAGGCCGACCATAGAGTCAAAAGTTATATGCAGATTTTTGACTCCCTGGGGGTAGATGCCCCAAACCTCTGCTTTGTTCAAGGCTTAGCTGTACAGCACTACCACAATAAAATTGGAAAGTTTTACTACCTTTATGTTAACGTAAAAGTAGTGAATAGCATATACAATAATAATGTTTTAATACTTCATTTTACAAAGTCAAAAAATTGTCTCTTGATCTGCACAGGATGAAAGACTCCAGGATGTCTCAGTAAAACTGAATAAAAGTTTTCTATTGTATCAACTTGTTTTATTTTATTTTTTCACATATAATAAACATGTTTTTTTTTGAGTTTGTGAAAACAATAAAAATATGTCTATTTTGGTAAGAAAAGGCCTGAAAGTAACCTTTATAAAGCCAGTGGTAAGATAGAGAATAACAAGTCAGGTAAAATTTCTTATTAAGCATTTCATGTGAATAATTACACATCAAGAAATTACAGAGTGCTCCTACCCTATTGCTGTGTCTTTAGTGATATACTGAATTGTCAGAATTTAGTGTTCTTTTTGTTACTGAGCAAAGAGAAATGCAGTACTAGAGAGGTCTCCAATGTAAATAATATACTTCACTAAGAAGATAAACAAAAGTTTAGATAATAAAGAATTACAAGATCTTTAATGTTTAAATATCCTTTAAAAACACTTCAAAGTAAACCTAATAATTCTTTAAAATGGCCAAATGGCTGGTTACTGTTTTGAGCGTCAAGCCTTAGCATCCTCAGCATCAGCAAGAAAAATAGTATAAACCTCAGCGAACCTCATTCCCAGATCTAATGGACATTAAGCTAACACACTGCCAAGAAAAACATTTCTCATTCACTGCTCTCAATAAGAGTCCTTCCTATGTGCATGGGAGGAAGTCATTTGCCAGATGTTGCTGCTTATTTTACAAGTCTCCCTTTGACTTGTGCTTATTTTCTCTTGACCTCCCCAACTTCTCCCATGCACACCCCGTGGAGAGCACACAAGACTGTAAACGTTACTAGAGAAGTACCTTGCTGTTCTAGTCAGCACCTCAGTCCGAACATATGTTCTTGTTTATGAAAGCAGCCTAATTGCTGATGGCAACTGAATGATTAGGCCTCCCCCACTCAATGCTATCTGGACATCCATCAGCAAAACAGACTGTTTTACAATTTGGCATCATAAATGATATGTATGATGAAGACTTCCTCTTTTATGATAACAACAAACCTATTAATGATACATCAAGATAAATAAAATAGAGTTAAAATGAGAGTCAAGATGAAAAGATTGTGTTATTTTCTAACGTCATTCTATGTCTCTGGAACTCCCCAAAAATCCTGCAGCAGAATGTTGGGGGTTGCACTTCACCAAATGGAATTCTAGCAGGTATTTCACGATACTCTTGCTTTCCTCCTCTAGATGGAGAGGCAAACTGGCTGATTCAGGATCCAGGTCTAGAGTGTACAGTTTCTATGTGACACATATGCTGCTAAATTTAAGCTAAAATGGTTTCAGCATTTGTGTTGCTCACTGCATCCTCAGGGGCCTTGCACCTACCACACCTACCTGCCTCCCTGCCGAAGCAGATTTCTTTTGTGATGGAGGCAGCCTCTGTAGCGATAGCCCAGCTTTAGCTTTTTCACTCTTTATTTTGATCCCATTATCTTGTTCCTCTTAATATCTCCTGGATCCATTCCAAAACTAGGAGCTGAGCAAACTGGGGTGACAGATAATGGGGCCAGGAAAATGGATAAAGCAGGATTAAAGTTCAGTCAGCTAAGAACATTCTGTAAATGCTCAGGGAGCCTGAGCTCTTCAAGTGTTACTCACAGAACTCAAAGGGCTTGGATTTATATCATCTGTAAGAGTGTTTGTATGTATACACAACCCCTTATATTATTGCTGAAGTACATTCCAATACACAGAGAATAGAGCTGGGCACTTACTAGGTGCTCAGTAGTCAGTGAATGTATAAATGAATGAGTGAATGGCTATATAGTAATTCCTTGTGTGAGAGACTGAAGGAAAATGTCTCATGATAACTTGGTAAAGATATTCAACTACTAGGCTAGTTAACAGAGATTGCCTTCTCCCAAATTTTTGGCAGAATTCATCACTTGGAATTAATTAAAATTTATCTCCATGTGATTGCAAATCTCCAAAATCCTTTGGATTCTATTCACCTAGTTGAACAAGGATTAAAAAAATATCTAATGCTATAATTTACATATTTTAATGTGGTATTTTATACTCAATATGTTTTAAAAACACATTTTTTTCACTTCAAAAACAAACTTGACTTAATTGTGGTTTAACATAGTATTCTCAAAACTCTCTGTAGTGAAAGACATTCGTTTGTTTTTTTAATTTTCAACCCCAAAACAGACAGATATTTTTATAAAATAAAATAGAGATGAATTACCATAAAAAGAAAATTAAAACACCCATACTCATTATCCACAACAACCAAGATATGGAAACGACCTAAGTGGCCATTGATGAGTAAATAGACTTTTTAAATGTGGTGGATGAATAGATAGATAATGTATTAGCCATGAGGAAAAGAGAAAAGCCTGCCATCTGCAACCCCACAAATGATGCTAGAAGGCATTCTGCTAAGAGAAGGAAGGCAGACATAGAATAGACAAATACCATATAATTTCACTTATATATAGAATCATTTTTTTAAAGTTCAACTTGTAGAAACAGAGAGTAGAATGGTGGTTACTAGGAAGTGGAGATGCTGATCAAAATGCACAAGCCTTCAGCTATAAGTTCTGGGGAATCTAAGCTACAACATGGTAACTATAGTTAGTAATACTTTCCATACACTTGAAATTTGGTCAGAGTAGATCTTAACCACTCACTGCACGCACACACACACACACACACACACACATACACACATGCTGCACAAGGTGTTGGCTGTGTTAATCCAATTTTGGTAAACTTTCACAATATATATGTATGTCAAAGCATCAAGTTGTATACTTTAAATATACACAATTTTACTTGTGAATGCTATCTCAATAAAGCTGGGGAAAAAAACAAAAACAAAAGACAAAAAGTACAAATGTAAAAAATAATTGTCATTGTTTTTATCATTTTTTAGAAGATTCTATTTATTATTTTTAGAAAAAAGGGAAGAAGGGAGAGAAACATCAATGTGTGGTTGCCTTTCACTCATCCCCATATTGGGGACCTGGCCTGCAACCCATGTGTGTGCCCTGATGGGGAATCGAACCAGTGACCCTTTGGTTCACAGGCCTGTATTCAATCCGATGAGCTATACTAGCCAGGGCATCATTGTTTTTACCACTATATTCAAAACTTAAAACTTTAAAGTTTCTTTGAGTTATCTAAACACTCTCCATTTTCGTATCTATCTGGTCATACTTGTTTACAATCAGTCTGGTTAGCATCAGTCTGTTGATCACACTCAGGGTCACACTGGTTCAGGTCCAGCCTTCTTTCTTTTGTCCTAAATTAAGCAAATTTAGGGCAATAACTCAGAGTTTGTTCACATTTCCTATCACCTCCTCTCTATAACACTTAGCGCTAAGGTCTTTGCAGAGAAGAATGATCACCTGTGTAGTTAAAATTAGTTTCCAACATTTTTCAAGCATAAAAGAATTCATTTTAATCTTTGTATTCTTCCAGTGTTTTAAATACTGAAGACTAAAATATTTGTCAAAGTCAGGAAATAAAGGTCACTAAGAAAATGTCTCTTTTTCACAAAGAGTGATTATACTCACACATATCTCTGGTCCCCCACTGAAATGCTACCAAGCCATATTTTCTTAGCGTTAGGGAATAATGAAGACGTATGTTATACAACGCTGAGCTCACTGTGTGACTCCCAGTGTGTCGCCCTTTGACATGACAGGGAGAGGGAAGACCATGTCTATCTTTCTCTCCCTCTCTCTCTCACACACAGACACAGACACACACACACACACACACACACATGTGTGAATGCACGGCACATAGTATAATGGCTTGGCAGTTAACTGGATGGCTTTGTAACCAGACAGTCTGTATTCAGGTTTCACAGTAGGTCTTCCATAATTAGTTTTAATAAGAAAATGCTTTTTAAAATTATGTAGTAGTATAGTAGAAGATGGACAAACAGCATCATATTTTTACATTTGTGACAATTGTACAGAGTTAGAGTAGAAAAAAAAAAAACAGTACCATAACTAAGCAGCCAGCAGTAACTGACTCACATTACAGTCTAAAGTACATTATCAAGAACAGAAACCAGCGAATGTGCTAGGAAAACTGCTCACAACGAGCACAGAGCTTTCTTTCAGCGCTAATGTTCTCCTTCCTGTAGCCAAGCAATTACCTAAGTGGGCAAACAGAAAACCTGAGTTAAAAATATTAATATTCTGTGTTAAGTCTGCACTCACACATACACATTTTAAAAGAAATGAATCAAATAATAGATACTTCTAACAAAAATCATTACTTGAATTT